AAACCGAAACCCCCCCCGGAGCCGCGCGGGGATCGGGCAGGCGCAGCTGCGGCCGCAGGAAAGCTCGGCCCGGCGGGGGTGCCGAGCCCGCGCTCGCCACTCGGGCTCCTGCCCGCAAGCTTCGTTTCGCCTCTAGCTGAGGTCCAGAAAAATCCTAAATGAGTACTACTAAAATTCTTCACGACAGTCTATTTACACAAAACCAGGATGGCTGTGGTGCTATTCCGTCTTTTACTCTGTCCTCTCCTTTGTTCCCATTTCCCAAATAACCCCCTCCCATTTTTTTGGTGTTTCATTTTTCCTGTTCATATTACGCATCTACACCGCAGCGTTGTTGGTTCAATTTCTTTCTAGTTGGATTTAAGGCCCTTTGCCCAATCTCGTCCAGTCCAGAAATCCTGGGCGCCAAGTCCTTCTCCTCCCCATCCAGAGGTTCCGAAATTTTCCTGAGAAATTGTTCTCTCCGTGTTGCATCCGGCGGAACCGTGGGGGTGAATTCAGAGGTGTCAGAACACACCCCCCACATCCCTTAACGACCTTCACCACCACCTCCAGACGCACCCGAAGGCGCCTGGGTCAATGCAACCATAGCCTGAGCCACGACTGGTATCCGGGGAATTCGATCTACAAGGACCGTCTGGGGTTTGTAAATGAAGTACGTGGCGGTCCCACGATCTCTTTTCGGATGTGAGTTTTCCAATTTGGAGTGTTCTTTTCTCACGCTGGAATCCTTGCTGTTTATTTGGCTGACTGAAAATAAACGACTTTGCTCGCTGTCTCAGAATCCTGCCTTAGTGAAATGATTTTTTTAAAAATACTCCACTTTATTAACTCTCCCTCCAAATTGCAACTTTGGCGTTATTCTTCCGGAAACTATACTTGCATGTTCCATAAATACAAATTCCCTAGGTAGGAAGGAGGTGGGGGGGGGACTACTTAATTCATAAATGCACGACACATGTCTCAGGAGGACGCCACTACCGGTACCAAACTGTTCCCCTTTAGGACATTTTGGAAGAAGTGAATTCGCTTCTTGTTTTTACCTAATGAGGGAGATTCGAGCAGGAACCGCTGCAGAAACTAGCATGGGAGGATGTTCCATAGACACACGATGACACCCAGCCCGCAAAGTCACTGCGGTGGGTTTGCCCAAAGTGGGCTGAAAGAGCCAGCCAGCTCCACCCTGACGCTTAGCAACTC